CTTGATGCTTTATTTCTCCTAGCTTTTTATGCTTCCCTCAGACCAGGTGAATTTACCACAGCTTCTCTTACGTTCGATTTCAATCGAGACGTCAGCTTTTCTGACATGTCCTTTCACGCCAGCCATTTTAGCTTATATCTTAAACACTCCAAATGCGGCGGCGCCTGCTCCGTCATTGCCGCCCGCATCGACTCCCAGTTCTGCCCTTATAAATCCATGATCAAATTCCTACAGCTTAGACCTACCTCTAATCCTCTCTCACCATTATTTCTTATCTCAGGGAATTTTCCCTTAACTCAACGACAGTTCAATCACTATTTAAAGCAAGTTCTCATTAAATCCGGGTTATCACCCCTTCTATACACGGGGCATTCCTTTAGAATAGGCGCAGCTACTTCCGCTGCTAATCAAGGCGTCTCATCCTCATCCCTGCAACAACTCGGACGGTGGTCCTCCTCCGCTTTCTCATCCTACATTCGCCCGGACCTCAGTGCCGTGCTGGCTATCCAAAGGTCTCTCCAACCTTAAAATTGGTACGTATGCATATAACTGGTGGTGGTTCTTAGCATGTCTGCACGTATGTTCGCCCCGCGGCTCATGTTTATTCTTGCCATGTCTAACCCTGTATGTCCAGGTCGTAACCTTCGGGTCTGTATAAATGTGTCCCTGCTAAGTCAGGTTGCCCCGCACGTCCGGGAAGCCCTGCATGTTCAGGACGCCCCGTACGTCCAGGATGCCCTGTACATCCAGGAAGGATGCTTGGGAGGCATCAGTATGTCTAAATTCCCACATGTATTAACCTCTCATTTCATCCATAGATTTCCACTGCATCCCACAAGGTAAGATTTCTTCACGTTCAGTACTTCATACTTCACTTCTTTTGGGGGTTCATCGGAAACGGTTTTTTCCCTTCCCGAATGATATCCTACAAAACCTGGACCTAATCGCCAAACACCATTTCATTCACTTGTTATAAACTGTCATCATTATGTTTCATTTATATAATGTGACCGATAATAAACATGTATTCCATACATCACGTCTCTCCTGATTGAAATGAATAATAAATCGTTAAGTTGCGAGACCATTTGTTAATATTGTCGCTGATGAAGAATGACTTGACAAATAACCACATGTATAGTTAGGCAGTATTTTTTTATTATCACTTAATAATGCAGTTTACAGTGTTCTGACAGCAAGTTATAAAACTGATTTACCCTCAGGACTGAGCTTATAGTTATATCAATATAAAAAACTTCTGATAAAAATATATATATACGTAGATATCACAATATGACAAATATATGCTAAATCATAAACTCATCAAACTGGTTTTAAATCAGTAATACGTAATCAAGAACTTTTTTTTAAGGCTTCAAGTACATACGGATAAGATCATAATAATGAATAATTGTCCAGCCCTGTATTCCTCTGTTATAAAACAATATATATCCTCAGAAATCAATCCATAAAATACATCTTAAACAAACTTAAAATCTTCCAGCTGTCAAAAAATAATATTTGTAATATTTTACATCCAATTTTGTTGGCTTTTTGACACTTTAGTCACACATTTCTCAAATATTTTGACGTAACTTAAAGGGGACCTATCATGCAGCATGCCCTTTCTGATGTCTTCTCTACATCACCATGCGTCCCCGGTGTGTCGGGGAACTCACGCAGCGTCAGGAAATAAACCCCTCTCTCTTTTCCTCCGTACCCAAATCTCTAAAAACGGGGAACAACGGAGCTGATCCAGATTTGCGTCCGATATGACGTAATATCTGAAATGTGGACCCACGGCCCAATCAGAAACGTTGCTATCAGAAACAATGCCCGACTGTTTTGGACGTAATATGGTCGGTGTTTACATTAGCATCGCTAACACTCAGCTAACCTGTACTGGAGAGCATGTGTGTGAAGAAGCAGGAAGTAGAAAGGAACTCACCTTGTGGTATAACCGGCAAGAGAGAAAGCCTTTGAGCTCCAAACTGTTTCAGAGAGGATCCTTGATAATCCATGATATGGCGTTTCATCACGGCAGCATTTAGTTTAGACAGTAGCTGCCTGGTCCCGCATGAGCTCAGACCCTCCTCTTTAAAGCTTTATACCCAAATCAGCACTTTAGAAACAGGAAGTGGAATAGAGGGATATGAGGCATGGCTAGAATGATCTGTTTGGTGTTTGGAGCAAAACACTTCATAGACATGTTTTTTATATGTATATGTCTGAGACCGATGCTATTGGCTACAGACAGCATGATAGGTGACCTTTAAGTAAGAAATGTGAATTACTGCAGATTTTGTATCCAGACTTTTCTTTTATACCTTTATACAAAATGTAGTGTTGCTGTAAAGTCTGAACACAGCAGGTTATATCTTTCATTTTACACAGAATATTACATACAGTTTATAATAATCATGTATTAAAAAAATGAGTATTACACCAATATTTACATACAGCAATATGTGTAACGTTTTAAATAAACAGCTTATATGCAGCAGTGTGTGAGAACATTAACATAGTTATATTTATTGATATTCACGACTCTTTCCTTCCCTCTTTCCTTCCCTCTTTCCTTCCCTGTGATCCGTCCGTTATATTCATTCATAATCACATCTATCTTTAACAACGACCTGAGATCAGCACTAAAGAAACTCATTAGCCATGTTCATTAATAACTGTCACTTTTTTAATTAACTGTGCCAATTAATGAGCTCTTCAGCAAACAATGTAAAGCTGTGGTTTTTTACTGCTATTCATTTTGAATGAAACGGGTAACACGAGTCATGACTCCATGTCACAGCTGTGATGCACCAGGAACATCCATTTGCTTTTAATCCATAAATGAAATAAGGGATAATTGGTCGTCTTTACTTACTTACTTTTATACATATTGTATTTTTAAGGTTGATTTTGTCTTTAAAATATCGAGAAATAGTGAAAATTCTCTAAAATGTTCACTTTGATATGATATCACATAGAGAAAAGCAACACACCCTATATTTGAGTCCCGAAACAAACAGCTTTTAACGACATTTTGCTCGACGCATTTCAAATGTATCCCAAAAATGTGCGATCCTTTTGACTAATGGATGCTTCTCTGCGGATCAGTCTGTGGGTCAGTCTGTGGATCAGTCTGTGGATCAGTCTGTGGATCAGTCTGTGGATCAGTCTGTGGATCAGTCTGTGGGTCAGTCTGTGGATCAGTCTGTGGATCAGTCTGTGGATCAGTCTGTGGATCAGTCTGTGGGTCAGTCTGCGGATCAGTCTGTGGGTCAGTCTGTGGGTCAGTCTGTGGGTCAGTCTGCGGATCAGTCTGCGGATCAGTCTGCGGATCAGTCTGTGGATCAGTCTGTGGATCAGTCTGTGGATCAGTCTGTGGGTCAGTCTGTGGGTCAGTCTGTGGGTCAGTCTGTGGGTCAGTCTGTGGATCAGTCTGTGGATCAGTCTGGGTCAGTCTGTGGATCAGTCTGTGGATCAGTCTGTGGGTCAGTCTGTGGGTCAGTCTGTGGATCAGTCTGTGGATCAGTCTGTGGATCAGTCTGTGGATCAGTCTGCGGATCAGTCTGCGGATCAGTCTGCGGATCAGTCTGTGGATCAGTCTGTGGATCAGTCTGGGTCAGTCTGTGGATCAGTCTGTGGATCAGTCTGTGGATCAGTCTGTGGGTCAGTCTGTGGATCAGTCTGTGGGTCAGTCTGTGGATCAGTCTGTGGATCAGTCTGTGGATCAGTCTGTGGGTCAGTCTGTGGATCAGTCTGTGGATCAGTCTGTGGGTCAGTCTGTGGGTCAGTCTGTGGGTCAGTCTGTGGGTCAGTCTGCGGATCAGTCTGTGGGTCAGTCTGCGGATCAGTCTGTGGATCAGTCTGTGGGTCAGTCTGTGGGTCAGTCTGCGGATCAGTCTGTGGGTCAGTCTGTGGGTCAGTCTGTGGATCAGTCTGTGGATCAGTCTGTGGGTCAGTCTGCGGATCAGTCTGTGGGTCAGTCTGTGGGTCAGTCTGTGGATCAGTCTGTGGGTCAGTCTGTGGGTCAGTCTGCGGATCAGTCTGTGGGTCAGTCTGCGGATCAGTCTGTGGATCAGTCTGTGGATCAGTCTGTGGGTCAGTCTGCGGATCAGTCTGTGGGTCAGTCTGTGGGTCAGTCTGTGGATCAGTCTGTGGGTCAGTCTGTGGGTCAGTCTGCGGATCAGTCTGCGGGTCAGTCTGTGGGTCAGTCTGTGGATCAGTCTGTGGGTCAGTCTGCGGATCAGTCTGTGGATCAGTCTGCGGGTCAGTCTGTGGATCAGTCTGTGGATCAGTCTGTGGATCAGTCTGTGGGTCAGTCTGTGGGTCAGTCTGTGGGTCAGTCTGTGGATCAGTCTGCGGATCAGTCTGTGGGTCAGTCTGTGGGTCAGTCTGCGGATCAGTCTGTGGGTCAGTCTGTGGATCAGTCTGTGGGTCAGTCTGTGGGTCAGTCTGTGGATCAGTCTGTGGGTCAGTCTGTGGATCAGTCTGTGGATCGGTCTGTGGATCGGTCTGTGGGTCGGTCTGTGGATCGGTCTGTGGGTCAGTCTGTGGATCAGTCTGCGGATCAGTCTGCGGATCAGTCTGTGGGTCAGTCTGCGGATCAGTCTGTGGATCAGTCTGTGGATCAGTCTGTGGATCAGTCTGTGGATCAGTCTGTGGATCAGTCTGTGGGTCAGTCTGTGGATCAGTCTGTGGGTCAGTCTGTGGGTCAGTCTGTGGGTCAGTCTGTGGGTCAGTCTGTGGATCAGTCTGCGGATCAGTCTGTGGGTCAGTCTGTGGATCAGTCTGTGGATCAGTCTGTGGATCAGTCTGTGGATCAGTCTGTGGATCAGTCTGCGGATCAGTCTGCGGGTCAGTCTGTGGATCAGTCTGTGGATCAGTCTGTGGATCAGTCTGTGGATCAGTCTGTGGATCAGTCTGCGGATCAGTCTGCGGATCAGTCTGTGGGTCAGTCTGTGGATCAGTCTGTGGATCAGTCTGTGGATCAGTCTGTGGATCAGTCTGTGGATCAGTCTGTGGATCAGTCTGTGGATCAGTCTGTGGATCAGTCTGTGGATCAGTCTGTGGATCAGTCTGCGCAGCGTCCGGTGTAGATGAAGTCTGAGGGGAAAGCAGAGGTGAGTTATGAAACGATCTGGAACAAACTCCCAGAAACCTGCCGGTCCGCTGCAACTCTGACGACTTTGAGATCCAGGCTGAAGACTTTCTGTTTGTCGCTGCTTTGAATTGAAACTGAGCCGTTGTGTTCATCAGCAAAGTGGAACTTCTGTGTGAACTATTCACGTCTTAAACGGCACTGTAACTTTTTATTCATGTACTTTTTCTTTTAATGTTTCTTTTATTATCTTTTACTGTTTTAAATGCCTTTGTCTGAAAGTCTTTCATGTTTGTAAAGCACCTTGAATTGCCTTGTGTTGAAAGGTGCTATATGAATAAACTTGCCTTATGAGGTAAAACTATGATTATATTTAAATGTCCCTTCGATTGGAGCGCGAGTGTTCCCCATTGATGGAATACATGGATTTGAGCCTTTGCAGACCATTTACATGCACTAAACCCTATAGGAAACACTGTACAGGATTTGAAGGTGTTTTCTCACCGCGGCAGTACTCGGGATTGAAGTTCTCGTAGATGGGGTACAGCGGGTTCTCCTGCTCGCTGCGGTGCTTCCTCGCTCTCAGGACGTCCCGCACACACTGGTGCAGGAAGGCATACTGACACTACACACACACACGCACACACACATGCACACACACATGCACACACACACAAGGAAATAAAGACAGAACTATGACATGTAATGCTCTGTTAAAACTGGGTCTTGTAAGAACGAATTAGAATCCCATAATAAGTCTACAATGGAAAATGTAATAAAGTATGTTAACAAATTCCAGCCAGTCGAAGCCAGACGTGTCCCCATTGAAACCCACACATTTATTGACTAATTCCAGCTTAAATCAAAACATGTTCCTTCTCAACATGTAGCCAGTCCCCTGTGGACGGATGCCAGTTTGCTCTCTATGTGAATGAGTGTGTATCAGTGTGTGTACCTCTGTCTGCACCATGTGCTGGCGGTGCAGTCGGAGGTCGAACACGCCGCCGTACATATCGATGTTTCCTTTAGAGTCGAGCTGCTGCAGAACCCGGTCCAGAGCGATGAACGTCCCTGTACGACCCACACCAGCACTGACACACACACACACACACACACACACACACACACACACACACGTGATTACCCAACATACACATGTATTCTAGCAGTATATTAAAAGCAGCAGAACTGCGTCTCCTTGAATATCTGTGATCCTCTCCAGAATGGAAGTAGTCATCACATACAGAGCATCAAGTAGTTCCTGAACAGTGTCCTTCACATCCAAGAGAGGGAGTTACACAGTCACGAGATGGAGGAATGCCGGGTCTTGTAGGTAATCATGAATCCTGCTGTCATGTTCAAAATACTGAGGTTTTTCACAAAATCCTGACTTTTTCTCAAAATCTCAAAATTCTATATTTTTCTCAAAATTCTATATTTTTCTCAAAATTCTATATTTTTCTCAAAAATTTCACTTTTTCTCAAATTCTGACTTTTTCTCAAAATTCTGACTTTTTCTGAATACTTAAAAATGTTAACTCCCCGGCTTGAGCTTCAGCCTCAGGATCCATGTATCTGTGATCCTCTCCAGAATGGAAGGAGTCATCACATACAGAGCATCAACTAGTTCCTGAACAGTGTCCTTCACATGCTGATATCAAGAGAGGGAGTCACACAGTCACAAGATGGAGGAGTAGAAAGCAGTATTCAATGTTTACTTCAGATTAGCTCCACGTCAGAAATGAGCATGCTTGATGTCTCTCTCCATAGAGCAGTGGTTCTCAAAGTGGGGGGCGCGAGAGACCAGGAGGAAAAATGGTTATTAAAAAAAAAAAAAAGTTTAAAAAAAAAAAAAAATCATATTTGAAAAATTATTGATTTGAAAATAATATGATACAGTACTATTACGTCTGGGTCTCTGTGTTTCATTAAAGCTCGGCTCTGTGTGTGTGTGTGGAACGAGCCATTTTGTGTGCGTGCGCGAGAGAGAGAGAGATAGCGCACCGGTACCGGAGATCGTTGATGTTAGCTTCTGGTGCTAGCGAGCTACGCTAACGGATATAAGGAGTTTTTTTAACAACAAAGTGGAGGAGAGTCCTCTCCTGTCAGACTGAGAGACTCAGTGAGCTAAAGGACTCTCAGTGTTATCTCAGTGGGTCTCAAATGTTTTGGTCACCATTAATGTAAACAATTATTTCCGAGGCACGCACGTTTATATGATCATTATAGTTATACAAAAATAAGAGAATACATGAAAAACAGGTATGAAATACTATATGACATTAAAAAATGAATAAACTTTAAAAGGGGAGTGATTTGTAAAATATCCATAAAGAAATAGTAAATCTGTTTACAGTTCTGTTTCAAATGGGTGTTGAGAGATGTATCCATAGATCTCTTCATTTTGCTCTCAAAGTGCACCAGATTGATGCTTTTAACTTCAATATTTAAAAATCTTCCCGGAGGAGCATGCCCCCGGACCCCCCTATGTGAGGTCCACACACCACCTATAAAAATAGCACTTGACCCCTACTTACACCTATATGCCGTGAGCTGATTATCGAGCCTTCATTGTAACAGTCGCGGGTACATTGTGTGTGTGTGGGGGGAGTGTTGCAGTAGAAAGTTCCACTGTAGCGCCTGGTACATTAATGGGAAACCCTAAATGGTTGAGCACCCTCTATGAAACGTCAAGCTACCCCACAGTACCCCCAAAATAAATCTCTGGCACCGCCACTGAGCCTGACTATTTGTGTTGGGGGGGCCCGACTTTTTTTTTTCTCCAAAGGGGGGGCCTGACCAAAAAAGTTTGAGAACCACTGCCATAGAGGCTGAATCATCATGTTAATCACATAGCTATCATCTGCCTCAAACAGTCCTGATGCTCTTCTAGGTCATCACACATCCTGTCATGAACACAGCTACAGTTGGGATACCTTTGTTAGCATGCTACTCTCATGTTGGAGGAGGACATTCAGGATGTTCCCAAGAATATCTATGTTTTGTGAGTGTTATCAGATGGTGTGTTACCTGCAGTGCACCACGGTGGCTCCGGTGCTCGGGCTGCGGTCCACGTAGTCCCGCGTCGTCCTCACAAACTGGATCAGAGACTGCGAGCTCTCGGGCACGCCGTGATCCGGCCACACCGTGTAGTGGAAGTGCCGGAGCACCCGGGGGTAACTGCAGCTGCTCTCCTGGAGGACAGGGGTTAAAGGTCTCCTATTATACTATTTAAAAACACGCGAACATACAGCACCGGGGAAATCTATAGTTACTCCTCTAGTCATAATATGTGTACCTTTATCTGCATTGTCCCTTTGATCATTCTGGTATGACAATATGTAACTCTCAGTCAAGTACTCGAGTAGCTGTATTTTATTACATGACGCCATCAGGCAGGAACAGGGAGACAAAACGCACAGTAGCCCAAGGTGTCAGCTGTTCAGTGTAGGAGCCAAAATGCTACTTAGCCCGAGTTTATTATTTGTATTATTATTATTTGTTTACGTCACTTTTAGTTGTATTTGTTGAGCACTTCTGGCAATCGTCACATGGGTGTGGTTTGTGTATTTATGTCACCTGTGGCATGTCGGGGGGCGGATGACAGAGGGTTGTTCTAAGTTAATGAGTGTTTGATTTTGTTTATTAAATATCTTTCTCATTGAAAAGGCGGCATAAAGCCAAGCTTAGCGTCTCGGCGACTCAAACCTAAATGTCACAAACTGATAAACTGGGTCAAGGTCATGGCCTAGGAAGATATTTCCCCAACATGAATGAAACTGTAAATGAAACGGGTGAAACACGTAGAGTTATATTCACCGATGTGATCCTGAACTCTCTGATGGTCCACTCCGGCAGCACGGACTCCGACAGCATCTGAACCACCAGCTCTCCGTAGTACAGAGGGTCTCTGTCGGGGGGCCAGTACTGATCACACTTCACCTGCAACACAAATATAACATGAGTATATTCTAGGGTTGCCAGAAACTGACCATGATCAAAATCGATTATTCGGCAGCCCCCTCCAAGTTTATAGTAAAACAAACAGGTGGCCATTTACAATTATTAATACTATTACTATTATTAGCATTAGTCTATATTTTGGTTGAAACTAAGCCAGAAAAAAAAAAAAAAAAACATAAATAATAATACAAAAATATATAAATAAAATCGATTTTTAAAAATAATACTCGATTATGGAGACTGTACCGAATATTCGAATAATCGAATAATCACTGGCATCCCTAGTATATTCACGCTGAAGATGCATGTAAAGGGTCTGCATGTGTTCCCTCACGAGTCCATCTGATCATTAGAGTTACATTGTTATACCGTAACGATATACAACGTTCATATTGCGCCCCGTAGATAAGCTTTATGTTGATGATATAGTTAACTTTTAACTATGAAATAAAAATAGATATAATGTCCTCACCCGTCCCTTCTCCACACACTGCGTAACCATGACGATGTTGTGAACGCCGTGCTCCCACACCATCCGCCAGAAATCGTCTTTGGTGCCGGGCAGCGGACCCTGCGTCGCCACGTACTCCCTGCGGAAGTTGTTACCCTACACACACACACACACACACACACACACACACACACACACACACACACACACACACACACACACACACACACACACACACACACACACACACACACACACACACACACACACACACACACACACACACACACACACACAGAGGAGAGCTCAGTGTGTGTGTAATATCTGACTAGGAGCCAAAATGCTTGTTTTGCCATTGCTTATTATTTCTATTATAATCTTCATCTCAGTGTGTGTGTGTGTGTGTGTGTGTGTGTGTGTGTGTGTTGTGTGTGTGTGTGTGTGTGTGTGTGCGTGTGTGTGTGTGCTCACAGGGATGTAGCTGGCGTTGATGTAGTCGGAGCAGGGGTCGTCCTCCAGGAAGGAAAGCTTCACTCTCGTAGAGTCGTCTACACAAACACAACTTTAATTATAAATATATCAAATATTGTATAAATTATTTTACGAGTTGTATTATTAAATAAATATTATTAAAACATTATTAAAAGTCACTGAAAACAATAATTACAATTTTTAAAAATAAGAGGTTAATAAAATGTCTTTATTTAAATAACTCCCACATGGAAACATTTTGGGGTAAAATTCCCAAAATGTTATGTTTTTTTTTACCGTAAAACTAAAAGTCTCTTTATTTTTTTACTTTTATGTTTACTAAAATATTACTATATTTTAAAATTGTCATTGTTTAGTGACGCTCACCGTCTCTTCTTCAGCTCAGAGGCATGTATTGTTCTAAGTGAGAATATTAGCTGTGTGTGTGTGTGTGTGTGTGTGTGTGTGTGTGTGTGTGTGTGTGTGTGTGTGTGTGTGTGTGTGTGTGTGTGTGTGTGTGTGTGTGTGTGTGTGTGTGTGTGTGTGTGTGTGTGTGTGTGTGTGTGTGTGTGTGTGTGTTGGTACAATTTCATTGACAGAATAGAGCCAGGCTATTTCCCAGATACCCAGGACTTTACAACAGAGGAGGTGGATGCAGTTGTGGCTTCTCTTCCTAATAACAAGGCTAGTGGATCTGATGGGGTCATCTATGAGACGCTGAGAGCTACCAGGCCCACGTCAACACAGACACTCACACACATCTTCAATGCCTGCCTGATCAATGAGAAGGTGCCTGCTTCATTCACAGGATACCAAAAAAGGAAAATGTCCCAGATGATCCTTCCACTTGGCGTGACATTTCACTATTGCCCACTGTATACAACGTCTTTATGAAGTGCCTACTCACCCGCATCTTACCCTGGCTGGTGGACACAGGGATTCTCTCCCCCCATCAGAAAGCATATATCAACAGACAGGGAATGAACGAACATGTGTTTTGCTTAAAAACCGGAATAGATGATTTCAAACATGGATCATCTAAATTCTACACAGTGTTTTTGGACTTTAGAGACGCGTTTGGTGCACTCTCCCATGAGGTGATGCTACAAGCATTAGAGGAAATACACCTGCCTCAGCCTTTGGTGAATATTGTATCCAATGTGTACCAACGTTCATTTCTCCAGGTTATCTGTGGGCAGCAGCTCACAGAGCCGATTGCACTGCAGGTGGGAATAAAAACGGGCTGTCCCTGGAGTGCCGTGAACTTCATCCTAGCACTCGACCAATGGATGAAGTGGATTTACCAGTGCGCTCCGCTGCATGTCAAATCCCCAAATCCTGTTCAGGGATACGCTGACGACGTGCAGGTGTCATCCCGACAAGAGGATGTCATCATTGACATGCTGGCGCGCACTGATGAGTTCCTCCAATGGTCAGGGCTGGAGGTGAAGCAAGCTAAGTGTGCCGTACTCCATGAGCGCCGCAGTGGAGGCAACCGCTGGTATAAGGCCAAGAACAACAAGCCCCCCTCATTTCTTGTAATGGGCCAACCCATTAAGGTGTATTCCCGTAATGAGACCTACCCATACCTTGGCCACAGGTTTAACATCGCTGGCGAGTGGGGGGAGCAGGTCGAGGAGCTCACTGCAGAGTTTCTCCATCGTCTCCACCTGATTGACTTGTCCCCCCTCCCCGTCCTCATGAAGCTCCAGGCTGTGAGAGAGGTGGCTTTGGCTCAAATTCAACATCTCTTTGCCAACGTACACATCCCTCTCAAGGCACTGAGAGAAATGACAAACAAAACTATCCAGCTGGTCAGAAAGTGGGTGGGCCTCAACACACACTCCACACGGGGCATCATCTTTCTCCCATGTGGAGAGGGGGGGCTGGGAGACCCCAATGTCGAGTGGACCTACATAGCCACCAGGCTAGCCCACCTGATCCTTAACAATGATGATGTTACCGTAAGAGAAATGGCCAGGGCCTCTCTCCTGCTGGATCTACACAGAAGGAAGACCCCCTGGCCAGCGCAGACCAGAACAACTTCCTCGGCTTCAGGAGGAGACTCTGGGAAACTGGACTCTCAGGCCAGGGGCTTCGGGGTCTGACTGGCCAGATCTCAATGACCTCTGCAATCGGACTGGAGTCCAGCTGAAATGGACACGACTCAACACACAGACTGAAGTCTCTGATGAACTGATCACTGACCCCAGTGTGGTTGTGAAGGCCGACATCACAACACCTCAGGAAGAGCCTGTGGAACTGCACAGAGACTGCAAGGAGGGTTCTGCTCAGCACGAAGCAGTCTGAGATCAGGCAGCACTGGTGTGGACTCAGACTACAGGCCTGTTTGGGGTTTGCTGACCACTCAGTCTCACACCCAGTGTTTAAGAACGCCGCTGTTGGTGAGGATGTTCTGACATTTACCATCAAAGCAAGACTGCAGACCCACTAAGTACAACCTGTCCACCTGGTACCCTCGCATTCACACTCCATTCTGTTTAGACCATCAGGATTCACAACAACACCTAGAATCCATTGCACACATAACAAATGGATGTAATGCATACAAACGCCTGTACATAGCCCGTCATGACCGTACTGTGGACATTGTGTCTGATGCGGTACGAAACATCTTACCATGTAGCGCAGAAATGTACAAGCACGCTAGAGTGCTACCAGAATGGTTTGGTTTCACCAATGATGTCTTTGCTGACATCCAAATACACCTGATGTGGTTTCTGTTGACTCCACAGGGAGGTGCTAATGTTAGAAGTAGGCTGTGCCTTTGACCTGTACATGGACCAGGCTTTCCAGGACAAGTATATCAAATACCAACCACTGCTCGATGTGATAACCAGCTTTGGGTACAAGTGTAGATATAGCATACTTATATTCAGAAGTCTTGGCCATGTATATAAAAGCACCGTGATTGGTCTGAGAGTTGCTGGAATGTCAAAGAGCAAAGCCAAACAAATATTGCTCTGTTTCAGCTGCTATTGGCAGCTCAGCCGTGTGGAGAAGGAGGTGCTATGTGTTCCCCTGAGTGCTCTGTGCTGCTTAGCCGTGTGGAGAAGGAGGTGCTATGTGTTCCCCTGAGTGCTCTGTGCAGCTCAGCCGTGTGGAGAAGGAGGTGCTGTGTGTTCCCCTAAGTGATCTGTGCTGCTCAGCCGTGTGGAGAAGGAGGTGCTGTGCGTTCCCCCTAAGTGCTCTGTGCTGCTTAGGCCGTGTGGAGAAGGAGGTGCTGTGTGTTCCCCTAAGTGCTCTGTGCTGCTCAGCCGTGTGGAGAAGGAGGTGCTGTGTGTTCCCCTAAGTGCTCTGTGCTGCTTAGCCGTGTGGAGAAGGAGGTGCTGTGTGTTCCCCTAAGTGCTCTGTGCTGCTTAGCCGTGTGGAGAAGGAGGTGCTGTGTGTTCCCCTAAGTGCTCTGTGCTGCTTAGCCGTGTGGAGAAGGAGGTGCTGTGTGTTCCCCTAAGTGCTCTGTGCTGCTCAGCCGTGTGGAGAAGGAGGTGCTGTGTGTTCCCCTGAGTGCTCTGTGCTGCTCAGCCGTGTGGAGAAGGAGGTGCTGTGTGTTCCCCTAAGTGCTCTGTGCTGCTTAGCCGTGTGGAGAAGGAGGTGCTGTGTGTTCCCCTAAGTGCTCTGTGCTGCTTAGCCGTGTGGAGAAGGAGGTGCTGTGTGTTCCCCTAAGTGCTCTGTGCTGCTTAGCCGTGTGGGAGAAGGAGGTGCTGTGGTGTTCCCCTAAGTGCTCTGTGCTGCTCGGCCGTGTGGAGAAGGAGGTGCTGTGTGTTCCCCTGAGTGCTCTGTGCTGCTTAGGCCGTGTGGAGAAGGAGGTGCTGTGTGTTCCCCTAAGTGCTCTGTGCTGCTTCAGCCGTGTGGAGAAGGAGGTGCTGTGTGTTCCCCTGAGTGCTCTGTGCTGCTCAGCCGTGTGGAGAAGGAGGTGCTGTGTGTTCCCCTAAGTGCTCTGTGCTCTTAAGCCGTGTGGAGAAGGAGGTGCTGTGTGTTCCCCTAAGTGCTCTTGCTGCTTAGCCGTGTGGAGAAGGAGGTGCTGTTGTTCCCCTAAGTGATCTGTGCTGCTTAGGCCGTGTGGAGAAGGAGGTGCTGTGTGTTCCCCTAAGTGATCTGTGCTGCTTAGCCGTGTGGAGAAGGAGGTGCTGTGTGTTCCCCTAAGTGCTCTGTGCTGCTTAGCCGTGTGGAGAAGGAGGTGCTGTGTGTTCCCCTAAGTGATCTGTGCTGCTTAGCCGTGTGGAGAAGGAGGTGCTATGTGTTCCCTAGTGCTCTGTGCTGCTTAGCCGTGTGGAGAAGGAGGTGCTGTGTGTTCCCCTAAGTGATCTGTGCTGCTTAGCCGTGTGGAGAAGGAGGTGCTGTGTGTTCCCCTAAGTGATCTGTGCTGCTTAGCCGTGTGGAGAAGGAGGTGCTGTGTGTTCCCCTAAGTGCTCTGTGCTGCTTAGCCGTGTGGAGAAGGAGGTGCTGTGTGTTCCCCTAAGTGCTCTGTGCTGCTCAGCCGTGTGGAGAAGGAGGTGCTGTGTGTTCCCCTAAGTGCTCTGTGCTGCTCGGCCGTGTGGAGAAGGAGGTGCTGTGTGTTCCCCTAAGTGCTCTGTGCTGCTTAGCCGTGTGGAGAAGGAGGTGCTATGTGTTCCCCTGAGTGCTCTGTGCTGCTTAGCCGTGTGGAGAAGGAGGTGCTATGTGTTCCCCTGAGTGCTCTGTGCAGCTCAGCCGTGTGGAGAAGGAGGTGCTGTGTGTTCCCCTAAGTGATCTGTGCTGCTCAGCCGTGTGGAGAAGGAGGTGCTGTGTGTTCCCCTAAGTGCTCTGTGCTGCTTAGCCGTGTGGAGAAGGAGGTGCTGTGTGTTCTCCTAAGTGCTCTGTGCTGCTTAGCCGTGTGGAGAAGGAGGTGCTGTGTGTTCCCCTAAGTGCTCTGTGCTGCTTAGCCGTGTGGAGAAGGAGGTGCTGTGTGTTCCCCTAAGTGCTCTGTGCTGCTTAGCCGTGTGGAGAAGGAGGTGCTATGTGTTCCCCTAAGTGCTCTGTGCTGCTTAGCCGTGTGGAGAAGGAGGTGCTGTGTGTTCCCCTAAGTGCTCTGTGCTGC